TGTTTTTGGGCAATTAGCGTTCCTGGAAGATACCAAATTGAGCAGGTAGCGGCTACGTTAACCACAAACCGGCTGCATAAGGTAGGCATTAGCGTTGCCAACTGCCTCCAACTGCCCTTCCAGCCTGTTTCGAGCTTTTGCGCAGGGCCTTCCCTCCATGAAGGAGAAAGCTGGTCGTCAGCAATGCCGAGCTCTGCGAGGACCTTATCCTGCCCTCTCGTGAACCTCAACTCAAAGCCTCACGGAGCCCCTGCCGGATCTCGCACGCGAGAGTGGAGACCTGAGTGACCCCCCAAACTCTAGTGACCAAATACTCACAGGGTTGGGGCTGGGGCTGGGAAGGCCAGTGGGAGCTGAGTGTTAATCTGTTCCCCTCTTTCCAAACCATACATTTACAAGGTTGAATTTTATCTTCTGAGCGAGCGTTTTTAGTTTTATTTATTTATTTTTTGTTATAGGTGGCAGCCCAGCAGCCTTTCTCTACAATTCCCCCCAATTTGTTGCTCATGCCTGTTAAAAATTATTTCAGTGGCAGCCTACAATGCTACGTTATGTTTATGTCTTGCTGAGGCAGGACAGTGGTTCAGGTAGATACATTTCTTTATGCCCGGGAAATTCTAATTTAATGACTCGTTTAAACACGCGCCAGACTGAGGCTGAAGAAGGCTCTTCAAACATAGTTTCTTCATTCTTGGTTGACTGATTTTTCTAACACACAATTATGTCAGCATGCATTTCATTTAGGTCCTGATTCAGCAAAGGACACACACATGTGCCCAGCTTTAAGAGCACAGCTAGTCCTTCAAAGCTGCACCGACATACTTTGCTAAACTGCTGATACTGACTGCTAGATAGCCCAATGGTGCTAAGTAGATTAGAAGCTCTTACTACTTTTTTTTGGTTGTGTCCATGCTTATAGACCAGTTGATTTTGCACTGCTCCAAATACCAGTACAAATCTCGGAAGAAAAGGAATTTAATTTGGGCATCACAATTGAGGCTTAATTGTTATGATCCTGTCAGGGTAAGGAGAACTATCTTGGGAAAATATAGCAAAAGGAATTCTTGGTCAGCAGAATTTTCTTACTTTTAGAATTTCTTGATGATTTTCTGAAGCATATAATCGTCCATCTCGAACAATGTCTTCTATTAGCTGTTGATAATCCTCTGAAAAATAAAGATCAGTGAGTGACTGTTTGTGACATCCTTTGGGAGGATTATAGCCAGACAAGCACTAATTAGCTAGACCTCCTCTTCAAGATAACTCAGAGAAATTCAGCTTCCAGTTTATTATCGATGTCTCTCATGCTGCTTTAATCTAATCACACTAGAAATTAAAACTTCATACTGCCTTAGAGCAGCAATTCTGAGTCAGCTATACTAAATTAGCCTCAGAAAATTCCTTCTCAGCATTATTATCTGAATTTTAGAGATGAAGAAATAGGGCCAGGGATATGCAATAACTGTCTAAGGTTACACACAAAGTCCAAGGCACAGTCAGGAACAGACCCTTGTTTTCTGGCCTGAGATCGTCTCTCGTTTTGATTCTTGAATCAAAACTAGTCACCACTAGTCACCTTAATATCAGGTTTTCTAATCATCTACTAAATTCCACTGGTGTTTGGAATTTAGGTGGACTAACAGAGAACAGCTGCCAAAGGTAGCACAGAAAAGTCTTACTTTCCTTAAAACAGTCCAAAGTCCAAAATATACAGTTTAATGTTTATTTCTGTATGACAATCAAGACCGTCTTAGAGCATTTTGCAATGTTTATTTTGCAAATAAACTTTGAAAAAGGATATTTCCTTTTGCATCTTTTTTTTTTTTCCTCCATTGGACCTGTATTTTTCATGACGCTTTTCATGATTTTGCTGGTTACCAGGAAGGCTCAGTGAAGGGGCTTCCTAAAATGTGCAGCAAGTAATGGTATGCTCACTATGCACGTGATAAGTAACAATAACAAGGAGTCTCCTTGAATTCAGGGGGAGAAGGATTAAGTTTAAAGAAAGCTGTACATCTTGCTGTCTGTCCTTAAAGGATTAGGAAAAGTAATAAATATAAAATTAAGTACTATTTCAAGTTCTTTACAACTGATTTTAAAGTAATTCACTGGAAACCCTAGAAATGAGTTCCATCAATTTTGTCTCATTCTTCTGTTCCTGCAATCAGTGTAAGAGAGATTCTAAAGAACAGTTTTCTGAAATTCAGGTATAACGGAAAGACAGAAAATGATCCCATTCTCACCATCGTAAGTCACATACGGGACTTGAAATCCTTTCCCACTGTTTCCTTCATTTGACTTGAACTGAATCCATAGCTTCCTTGATCTTGAGGTAAATGCAATAGGTCTCTCGTAAGTCTGACATGTTTCATATGTAGTAATCGAAGTAGGAGAAGCTAGAAGATTAAATAAATAAATAATCTTTATAAAAATAACTTTTTGCATCCTTCCTGTTCTAGAGGTCAGAACTGTCACACCGACAGGACGCTTGTCAGTTCACATATCCCTGAGAGTGAGAGTTTTACGACAGAAGGCATGTGCTATTTATTGGCCTATAAAGAGAAGCAAGTTTTTCCACAAAGGTAATGGGAACCCTTCCCCTCTGTCCCAGGGCAAGATGCTAGAGCAGACAGCAAGATGCCACAAATCATTATTAGCATTTACAAAGTTAGTAGTGATATTACTAATTTTGTGTTTTACTGCAGCATTGGGTTCCAGGGCTCCAATATGCTGGTCCCTGAGAGGCAAGAACAAGTCAGCTGCACCCCAGGCAGCTTTGGTGACCAGCTCCAAACACTTCCAAATCTGGCTGTTGATCTCAGATCATCAGCCGATGATCAGAATGTAATAACCTTGCTGTAGGTTTGAAAAGAAAATGTTACTCATCTATTGCTGGTCTGGGAACCAGAAAGACCCCCATTTGGAATTATCACCAGTAACAGAGAGTACAGGATATCCTCAAATCATTAAGAACGTACCAAGTGGCTCTTCTAAGTTGAAATAAATTACAAAAAAGGAGAAAAAAAGAAAAATAGTTTCGTACTTAGTTCAGAAAAGACCTGTGGACTTCAGAGCTGCAGGATAAACAGGGAAAGATCCCTAGCAAGTATAACCTTCTAAAATATGAACTTGCAAGGGCTGACCTTACTTTCATTGATGTTAACAAAAAGAGACCTTTTGAATTGAATGGGTTTTGGATAAGACCTTAGACGAATTTCAAAATAAAGATTATGTTAAACTGGAGTTAAACGTTAATATTTATCAGGAAGTCTTACGGATGAAATTGTTACAATGATGTTGTAGTTACACCAAAGACAAGCAGTGTACACTAGTGCCAGAGAAAAGATGGAAATTCCATTTTCCTTAACGACTTAGATAATGTGAAATGCTAGTTATGTTTCACAAGCCTCTTAGACAAGTAAAAATAACATCTGAAATTTTTATGAATGAAAACTATAGAAAAAGTTTCTAGTTTCCTTTTCAGTTTTTAAAATTTGTGGATATTTTAATATCACAGAAAACTTAAAATGAGAAGTGTCTTCAAACTTAAATATTAGAACATTTTGTTCTACAATGTAGTATCTTCAGCACTGAGACTTTTTATTCTGGTTTTCCTCTGGAAGAAAATACTGGTTAGATCAGTCTGATTTTATGAAATATTTAAATGTATGAAATATTTAAATGGGATTTTGTATAAATTTCTGGGGCCAACTTAATTATCGATCCCAAACGTTCATAGCAAAGGTTAAACATAAAAACCCAAACTCATGGGAGGTACACAAAATGCCTATATCTAACCAGCTTATGCCACCAACGCTACATCTACCTGCCATGTTGCCCTGCAACATACCATTATAGAGAGGCTTTTTAATGAGTTCCAGACTAGAATAAATTGATTTTTAAAGGAATTATGGACATTATTTCTTAAGGTACACAAAAAGACAGAGCAAAGGTGACATAGCAAGGCTGTGAGCACCCTGGAGATGGCTGAGTAAACTTCACATCCCTGCTCACTTTCTGTCCATGTTCCCAGGGTAGCTTGGGCTGAACACATGCACACCGCACGTTAGGAAGAGGTTACTCTGGATAACCGCTAAAGGACTGTAGTCATGGTCTTTACCTGCTCAGCTCAGGTAGCATGCAGCCCTTGGTAAGACAGTAAGAACAGCCATGCTGCCCTGTTCCTGAGGGCTCTGGAGCTCGTCTCAGTCTACATCCGCGTGCCTGCGTGTAAGGGCTACGACTGGCTGGTGAGTGGGCATTAGAGAAAAGGCCTAGCTTAACATAACCACACTGGGAAGAGTATGCTGTATACTGTGGTCGAGTCCATTCTTGAAGTGCAAAAAAGTGGACTGAACTGTAACTCTGGAACCGCGATCAGTTTTCCCCCCCCATAAGACTGGCAGCTGATGTTACGTGAACTCTGATAAATATTTATAAGAGCTAGTCTTATGATGCCAAACATACAGTGATCGCAAATCATAGCTCTGAAAAACTCTCCTCATTTTCCAGTGTTGCTGTTATTGGTACTGAGGTGGAAGCCAAGCTTTTCCCTGCTATGCCTGGCTTTAGTCACTGTTAGAATCAGATTCAGGACTAGAAGGACTACTGAGTTATTCTGCTACAGCAACTGTGTTGCGTCTATAAAACTGATCTGGCCAGATACAATTTGCTTCCATCTGTAATGAGCAGGTTTCTTTTTGCACTAATCTGACATATAGAGCTGCCAAAACAAGCCCTAGCGGATAAAAAGTTGTCAAAAATATTTCAGCAAGTAAAATACATCGTTTTAAACAAAACTCCATGTAAACAATTGTCTTTCAGGCACAGTGCTTCTTGGAGCTTTAACAACAGATCGCCAGAAGCTGGCTGCTCGCGTAGGACTGAAGGAGGGCTGCATCTCAGTGCTGCCCTAACTTCAGAAGCAGTTGAATTAACTTTGAAATCAAAGCTACAATATAACTGCTGCTCCATGTGAAATGGGGAAAAATATGGCATTCTTGAGGGTGTCAGGTTGATGTACCAACCTGTGTCAGCGCACGGATTTAACAATAATTGCAGCATAGATATTACCTGCAAAGGGGAAGTAAGAGCATAATTTCTAGCAATGGCAGGAGAGATCATCTCCTAGTATAACTTCACATAGCTTTATTGACTTCAACAGAGCGACAGTGATTTATCCCACCTGATAACTGGGCTAGACAAAAGTCCATTAACTGCTTTATGATTCAGCCAAGGCACTTGAATAATTAATATCGCTGAGTTAATTATCATTAGTGCAGCATTCTGTATTAACTTGCTGTGCCAGTTCATTCCGCAGTCCTTTTACAAACACTGAATGGATGAAGATCTCATTTTGTCCCATCCATAAGAACTTTCCCTCAGTCTGTTTGCTATAAATATGTATAATTCATGACTGGCAACTTACCACTTTTTCTCATTACTAAAACATCACCACATTCGTCTTCAATTGGGAGAAATATCTCAGGCACTACAATGAGTATTCTCCTCTTTGGGGGTGGGTTTATATTCCAAATGCATTCAACATTAGCTGGGTAGTCTCCAGGATAGTTGGGCGATTCAATGTAGCCAGTATAATCCCCAAGTTCTCCTCCACAGTGCTGGTCTGTGGACAAACGTAAATTAGCATTTGTGTTAGCCGATTAGCTCATTTGATGTACTTTTCCAGATCTCTCAAGAGCAAATCTAAACTCCTCCTCAAGGCTGCAGATATGCATACCTTCTCCAGCTGCCTCTTTGTTTAGCATGGAAAGCTTTTACAGACATACTCAGTCAACAAGGCTGCTCGCGCTGACTTGCAAAAGCTTCATCTCCAGTGTATAGGCTGATTGAACTCTCCATTCAGACTGATTTAACGCTTGACTGAGATACCAACGCAGGTAAGTAAGCACGATCCCCACTGTGGGGGGATTCACGCAGTGGTTACCACTAAGACCATGCCGACACACAGAAGGTTTTTGGGTTGAACTTCACTTGTTTCTTAACTCGATTTAGCTGAAGGAGTGCAATGATCTTAATAGACATCCCTGTTGTGATTACAGACCCCCTTCCTTAATTTTAGATTAAGCCAGTTAATAAAGAATCTCAATTGACAGGTCAGTTTTATTTTCCGAGTTTTCAAAATTCCAACTGAATTTGCTGCAGAAGCCTCATTCAGGGAGTTACCTAAGCTTGATCTCTCCAGTCCTTCTCACCCACTTAGAGCTAAGCATATTTTAAATATTTTGCTTAATCAGAGCCTCCAAGATTATGCAAGGTCAGAAATCTGCGTGAAAAGGGAGTATCAGAGATAGCAAAATGACTAGGATGGTTTTACTTTATGGGATAGTTACAAACTCCTTGAAATTCCTTACAAATATCTACAATATTTACTCAAGTTACATTACAAATTATGAAGGACTTCAAAAATACAGAGCACACAATCAGAATAAAAACAATTATGATAGACTTATACATGAATATTTAGTTTAGATGACATAACCTAATTATTATAGAGAAATTCTCTTAAATTAGCATACGAGGGATGAACAAAAATTGCCTGCCTAAAAGAATTAATTTTTCACAGCAGACCAAACACAATTGCACTGGAGTCCTTGAGGATATTTAAATGGTAATTTAAGATAGAAGACCAAGTACTGCCAAAAAGCTTATGAGAAGATTTCACTGTCGTGAGCGATTACCTGGCAATTGCAGTATGCATGTCCATATCTCATAGTATTTCATAATGATTAGTGGCAGTAGCTCTGCTGGAAGATATTGAGCTCCACAGAGACATGGGGAAAGATGAAACACTGCAAAAACTTACAGGATCTTGAAAGCTTGTGAAAGCTCTGTAGTTTTAAATTGCAGCTGGCACTGTGCCAGATTACATTAATACTAAAACAATTACATGCAGCAAGTGGTACTTTTCCAGGTTTTGTTCGCGTTGTCTTCACCGTCAAATTTTAGCGTTCCGTAGGGCAGGAAGTATATGCTAACTCTGAAATGTAAAACTGAAGTCCAGCCTGACAGTTGGAACCTCCAAGCTGCGGTCCACACTCAGAGACAGGCTTCATCCCACAACTAGTATAAACACAACTTACTTTTGCAGTGCGTAACATTAGTGGAGCCATCAAAATCTGTACTTGTGTTGCCAGGGCAGGTGATGCAGTAGTTTTGGCCAAACTCAGGCTGGTAAGTTCCCACGGGGCACCGGATACATCTGTGTGTTGTGGAGTTGTAGTAGTGTCCAGGAGAACAGTGAACTGTAAGGTAGGAGGCATGTTATTTTCAGAAAGTAGCAACCTTTAGCACAGAGACAACTTCTCTCCACCCTGGGCATGTCCCATGATCTCCATACTGCAGTATACTTACCACGCCATTGCAAGGGGAAAAGACATCAGCTCGCCATATTTCAAAGAACCTCCTAGCTGGAATCATGCTCCAAAGACTAAAGCTAAAACCTGACAAACTAGTAACACGTGCTGTATGTCTCTTTTAAATACAGTGGTTTCCAGTGAGTTTTTAAACAAATGGAAGCTGATACCATCTTCCTCGACAACAAAAATGCCTTTTACAATAGCAGGAGAGAGAGGTTTTCATTTGTGTCTGTTTGACAGGGAGCTGCCCTCAGCATCTGCACTGAAATTTGACATTATGGGGCACATGACATGTTGTACGCTTACCACTTCTGCCCAGCCCATCAATAAACAAACTCTGGTTTCATTTAATTTCTGCAGTGTTTAGTTCTTCTAATTTGTTAAATAAAAACCTACCACATGTAAAGGCTAAAGCATTCTCTTATGCAGGTTGGTCTTATTTGTTGCCATGCAGTGAGGCTGATTTACTTACCAGTTGCAGTGTTGGCCCTATACGGGCCTGCACTAAATTCCAAAGAATAGTATAAAGACTGTTCAGTCTCTGCAATCTCAGGAGATCATTCCTAGTTCACAGATTTCCTGACCATTTAGTTTAATCACACACTGTTTCTACACGCAGTGACTATGTTTGTGTTGGAGAATTTCAAAGTCCCCTGGCATCGAAGCTTACAAACAAAAGGGCAAGCAGTAGGAAAATGAAGGAGCAATATAGTCTATGAATGATGGAAAATTTGAAATTCACCTTTGGTTTCACAGTCTTGGAATGAAACAGCACCTTCATACTTGGTCACAAGCCCACCACCACATGGAAAGCAGAGGGTCCTTCCTGGTTCAGGCTGATACGTACCAAGAGGGCAGACTCTACAAGGTTTAAAACCATCTGAAGAATAGTGTCCAGGAGAACACTGCCCTAGAAATTGAAGATGATCATCCATATTAGTGAGCCTACTCTTCTGGACAAAGTATAAAAGCCACTAGTAATTAGCAACACTTCCTATAACTTAAAAAAAATAACATCAGGGCAGCTGCTAATGAAATTCTACTCTTACCTGCCAATTTTATTCCTGTAACTGCTTCCTAAAAACGATGCCAATAAAGAGCTAGTTTCTTAATAAGTTCTTTACTACCTATTTTTTTTTCCATGAAAGACTCCATTAAGGTACTGTTATAATACTTAGTACTTTTACTAAGTCTTTCATCTGAAAATCTCAAAGCAGTTTGCAAGAAATAATGAATCTTTACACCATATCCATGATGCAAGTTTGTTTTTTTTTTTTTTAAATCTCCATTTTATAGCTATGGAAATAGTAGATCATGGGATTTACCAGCCTGGCCTGGACCAGTCCAGCACCCTGTCTTTGAAAATAGCTGACATCGTCAGTTTTCCAGGAGGCTGTGAAAACTAGTGCTTGTCAGAAGCTCTTCTGCTAGAAAACGGTGGTTTGTGAAAAGCAAAGCGCTTTGTGGATGAGTTTGCTGACAGATAGAGGTTGTGGCAAAATTTGCTCTCCAGGCAATTTCTGACGAGCATTTAGTTGGCTTGTTTCTTGCTAGTTTGAGTACTTCACGCCTTGATAGCCTATCTGGGAATCAGGATGTCGAGCTTTTCAGGATCTATAGCATTAGCGCACGTCTTCACAGCATCCTAGGAGACCAGTGCTTTGAGGTGTGTTTTAGCTATTCCCTGAGGTTGCCTAATCCCAATGCTTTATAATTTAGCTTCCAAAAGAGGTAAACAGCGGGCGGAAACAACTAGCTTGAAAACCCAAAAGTTTTGAGAGCTCTAGTTGGGGTTGGTTAAGAACTCTGACATTTGCCTGGAAATATGGGGGACTTCCAGCATCTTGGGTACTTGGCTCTCAGGATGAACAAGAGCTTCCAAGCAAAAGGAAAATTCAAATACTGTCCCCACAAAAGTCCAAAGTGTAACACCTATGGACACCTGTGAGACTAGGGTCTCTGGGATTCAGTTCTGCTCCCATTCCCGCATGCTGGAATATGACTGTGCAAGCTGAAGCTGTGTTATAGACCTCTGAGAAATGTTATGACATTTCTCATTTGAAAACAATTCTGTAGCACAACTCATCCAACTGGTCACTGGACATTAAGGCAAAGGCAGTTAATGAAAATTGGATTTGGATCTGGATTTTTAGTTTGAAAATTTAGTATTTGTGAAACTCTTACAGACGTCCTTTTAAAGAAGAGGTACAGTTGCGCTTGAATATTGTTAAATACCTGCCACTTTCAGCACTAGAGTGTCTCAGTCCTCACCTGAAGATGTAGAAGGAAATGAGCTGGTTACTTCATTCTTGCCTTTTCTACTGAATTTGCCAAAAAATTAAGACGGAGGTAGATTTCCTGGAGAAATGCCCCAACTGAGCAGGTTTCCTAATTGTTTTGTGCTTGTGTCTACATGGATTGCCTGTAACTTAAGTATCATAGCATCTTATTTACTTGCAGCTACAACACAGACTGTGTTCTATGCAACAGTCAGTTAAAAATTCTTACATACTTATATGTGCCTCACTTACAGGGCTGAAGATCTCAAGCACAGCGTATTTGTTACTACGCAAGCGTTACTGTTCCACAAGCTATGATGCAAAAATACTATTGATTACAGGTGGTGAGTACCTTTCTAACAAAATCTGTTTTTAATCAAAATACACTGTTTCATCACATATTCTGAAATATTGTATGGAGACATACTGCTCTTGATAAAATCTTTGACAGTGAGGTTTATGAAGACCAGACCATATTCTCTCTTGCCACTTTCAGAGGAAGAAAAGGGGAGAGCTCATCAGAAAAAATGCGTCTTATCAGATCACAGTCTATTTTGAGACAATCCACTCTGCAAAAAGAACCAGAGAGTTTCTTTCTGTTCACATGCAGAACAAAAATTCAAGTGGAAGCTTTGCCAGTTGTGAAACAAAATTGTCTTTCTTCTTGCTGTTGTACTGTTTTGGTCAGTATACTGTATCAGGTCCTTGTACATTTAGACTTTATGGTGATAGTAATCTATTCTTGCTCTATTTTGGCTAAATAAAAGCCAATATAACTGAGGATGCACAGGCATTTCAAGAATTTTCCAGTGATACAGTTCCTTCAACCAGTAAATCAGCCAAATCTACCATATGCTTCAACTGGAGACACTAAAATTATTTTTTATTTAGTGGATGGGAAAAAAATGTCAGCATCTCAAATGTCATTGTACGTTCACTCTAGATACCCTTGAACCAAAATTAATGTAATTAATGGTTGAGTTTTAAAGTTACAACTTCAAAATCCAGCATAACGGATAGGACAGATTTGTTTCAGTCACATAACGTAACTGGCTATAAACTATGTTTTGCTCATCGGCAGTGAAATAAGGTAGAGGAAATAATTAACAGTTGTGTCTTGAAACCTTATCTTGATTAAGTTACCGTAGAAGCATTAATAAACTGAACTTTGTATCTCTCTTCTGAAATAAGGGATCATCATCACCATTATCTACTTTATATATAATGAAGTTGAGTCAGAAATACTAAGTCACTTGCCAAAAGCTACAGGGAATTTTAGCAGCATTAAAACTTGCAGTCCTTAGCCCTGGATGCAGGTACAGATCCCTGCAGCACAACATTCTCACCATCACAATCGCTGCTGGTTACATCAGGTAAACTGCAGCCCATGCAAAACATTTAATCAGCAGGCTCATTAGACTTACCAATACCAGGCCAAATTAATCTATCCCCTTGGCTCACAATATATCCGGTGAGCCCTTACAAGTCGAGGTATGTCCAGACTCCATACCTGACTTGAAGCAAAGTGCTTTGCTTGGCTTGCTCGGTTCCGTGCCATAGCTCACACTGCTGCAGCAGGTCCCATCTTTTGGGTAGCAATGCCAGCATGTCAGCGGATGGAACAAGCCAAAACGTGTGTATTGCTCATAAGGGCACAAGAGTTTTCTTCTGTTGGCTTTACAAGGCAGAAGGGTAGAAGGCGCTCCCCTCTTTTAGCCTCCGTGCCTCACATGCCAAATGGCAACACCTACTCTTCTGATAATCGAATTCAACTTGCCTCCACACTCTGATACGTTCCGGGCGCCTGCTACTCCCTGTCCATCGTTACTTGGGCAAGGCTCACAGGTAAGTTGACCTTCTGTGTCTTGGTATGTTCCTGGCGAGCAAGGAACGCACTGATTATGTTCTCCGCTATAAAAGGTGCCCGTGCTGCAGGTAACTGAGAAAAGAAAAGGGGAATCTCCATAAGGACTTTCATCTTGGTCACGTCATTTGCCTTTACATCAAAGGTTTTGAGAAGATAGATCTCTTTGGCCCCAGTATGATAGTGGCACTTTGCATATGCTGGGCTAGGATCCCCACCTGCTGTAAACTGGCCCATCTCCACTGTGGGCTAGGTCAATTTACATCAGTGCAAGATCCTTCTTCTACTGTTTAAAGCACTAAATAGCATTTAACTACACTTAAGCATTTATCAGGCATATGTTGTTAATAAAGCTGATGCAGTCTTAAAATGGAATACCGTAGTTTAATTAAGGCAGTGGTGCATAATGTATGGGAAGTGATGTGAATTTTTAGTCTACAGTAGATGCATTTACATGTCGGTTTTATGAAAGAAGAAGATAGAAAAAGGTAGTAAGTCTGTCTCCTGAGATCTGTTCTAGAAAGTTCTCTGAGGACAATGTATCCCACGTAATATTGTATACTTCTTGACACTTGCACACCTAAACTGGAAGGCATTTTAAACATAGACATGAACCTACATGCTATTCTTGCTACAACAGGGCACATGATTGCACTAAATATTTTTCTCTGCAGGATACAGGTAGTTAAAGTACATGGGTTTCTAGACACTAATAGCAACAGTGTTTCAATACATCTTCTAAATCACTGTTCCTATATGCTGAAAACAGCATCTGAACCAACCCTTTACAGGCACCTACCAGATCTGCGTTAAGTAACTATTTCTTTTTGCTTGTAAATGACTTGGCATCTAAAAAAAGCTGGAAACATAGATAGGCTGATTTTGAAAATGTGACTTCAAGCAATTAGCATTGTTGTGCTGAGAACTGCCATTAATGGGTTTGCATTAGCACATTATCTTAGAGCCTGAGAACCTCGGAAACAGCTCAAAAGAAATAGTTATTTTACAGAAAGTTAAACTAGATATCTCTAGATCACAGCTTTTTAGCCTTTTTTAAATTGGACCTCTTGAGTGTTAGGTATAACTACATCATGGGCCATGGATTATTTGGTGGTGAGGAGAGTGAAAGAGGGGCGATAACAACATTAAATATATAGAATCTAAGCAAACACAATTTTACTGTTTTACAGAATTGTAATTACACTTTCACTGGATGCTCAGGGCAACTCGGAACTAGCTACCAACTGTGCTTCATGGCAGCCCTGATACATATCTGACGACATCATGGGAATGTGCACATATATATATGTTTTTTTTTTCCTTGTAGTCATTTAATGAATTTTCTTGTGCCGTCTTAGGAACCATCAGTGGCCCATAGACACAGGCTGAGTACCATGGATCTAAACTGTCTCTTATCTAATAGATTGCCAGTCTGGCTCATTAGGGACTAGTTAATTTGGGGGTGAGCTTGTTTTGGGGGGTTTGGCTGATCTGAAAGGAGTCGTTGGGACTTACCGCATTTTCCCTCCTGCAGCACTTGCCCTGTACTGCAAGCTTCGTGCCCTTCAGTAGCTTTAGCTGGCTTCTGAGCCACTTCATAGTCTGTCCCAGAAAACTGAATGTAAAATTGCTGTTTGTTAATAGATTTCCTCAATGTTTTGATTGCAGTTTGCAGCTTCTGCTCCATCCTTTTCCGAACGCAGTCAATGTTACAGGTGTCTAGATGGGAAATGATAAGAAAACTAGAAGCAATTGAGATTCATGTTTAAGCAAAGGTGCTTAACATAAAGACCTTAGCCTACATTACGCTGTTTCTCAGATTGCACTATCACACCTCTGTTTGCTTCACTTTCTTCTCCATATACATTCTAGAAGCAGCACGCTATACTCAACACTGGGCCTTTAAAAGGGACAAGCCAGTACACTGAGGCCCATCAAACTAGACTTCACACTTATCTCTAGCATTCAAAAGACTGGTTATGTTGACTGCACAGAGAGAGGGCTGCAGCAAACATCAATCTAGGCAGCAAAATCAGGTTGGTGCTGGGCAAGACTGCTGTCCCAACTCTGTTTTACAGAGTTGCAGTGACCGGTGCTGCGTGCATTGCTAGAGGTATGGGGAATTGCCCGCTATACTGTATTTCCAGATACGTATTCAGGCTGACTCGACTAACGTTTCTGAATTTTCTCAGCTCATGTTTTAGTAAGTTGATTAGGAACTCTCCCCACTTCCCGGTCCAAAATATTTAAGTGACACAAAGAAAGGTGCTTTCTGGCATGACTGCTATTTGAATCACTCGGCTGGTGAGGTATGCCGCATGGGCTAAGAAACCTGCCTTTGAGGCCTGGGATGTTTACAGTATCAAGCCCACATTTTCTTTGGCTGGATTTTATAGCATAATATTCTATCTCATGAATAACTTGAAGCAAATCTTTTTCTTTCTGAAGTTTTTTTTAACCAAAACATGAGTGTGCCAAACGTGCAATAAAAATGTTTTATTTTCAGACTGAAGTTGCAGCAACTTAAATTTTGAAGGATACTTTTATGGCTGGTGTTAAAAAACTCCTGCCTAATCCTTACATTCTCTGTGCATCAATTAATGCTTCTGTTATTTGAAGAAATCAGACTAAATTAAGCTACTAGACTTAACTCCAGGCTTTGAAGAAATTTTGCTGCGGGAACAGTCTTTGTTCCTTCAGCTTAGTTTCACACCTGACTCCTTTCAACTAAATCTTGGAAACTTTGAGTGTGGAAAGGCTGTTGAATAACGACTGTGCTAAAAGGTTTGCACAGCAGCTTGATGAAATAGCACCAGAGACAATCTAACACACTGAGGACCTGAATTATGATTTCTCTCGCAGGCCAGGAGAGATCTTTCACAAACCTGAGACTTCTTCTGACTTCATCTCCACTTCAAACTCTGCAGTGATATGGGACACTTCTTTTGATGGTGACTTGCGGCCCCGGCGTTTTTTCTTGGAGGAATCGCACTTGAGATTCACAAAGGTCACCTGGCAGTTGTCTGTACAAGGGAATTGACCTCCTTTGCATAAGAGAAGCAACATAGAAAAGAAATCAAGTAGCAAAGTAGCAAGTGACAGGCTCATGAGCAACAGCTGAGTTATCATGAATGCAGCGACAGGTTTCATAACATTTCACATGCAATGTTAGACTCCTCCTTCTCTGTGCAATTTTGGGTTTGCTCATTTTGCCAGCGAAAGCAGAGGCATAAGTACAATGTGGTGATGCTTAGCTGCACAGTGGTACTTCCAATGTTTATAATTTTCTGTCTCTTTTCTGCGTAAAGATTGGGAAGCTCTTTACATAAATTAGTTAAGATCTGTGATCCTATATATAGTCATTTGATAGTTAAATGAAGCAAGAAGTCAATTTTCATAAGCTGATGAGTGACAGGTCTGGGACAAAAGCACAGCAGTACTGGCTCCCAGATGAACTGAAACTACCAGTTGGTGTTTCTTCTCTTCGAGTAGTGACAATCACCTGATATCAAAGTTTAGAAAAAGATTAAAAGCCTGTGAGTGGGAGTTTATGAAAACACATTAGAAGGCTTTAAGGGAAAACTACATGCCAGGAGAAGTGAATGCAGTCTCTAAATATGTGTGACTGCTGAAGGGAAAGGATAAAATGTGTTAGGACACAGTCACATAAACATCCTCTCCCGATATAGAGAAATCTAGATGAAAACCATCCCATTTGTAATACCTGATGGACCTTCCAGGTTGGGGGGAAATCTATAACACCAAAGCCACCAACAGGATTTCAGTTGGAGTGTGTGGCTGCATGATATAATCTTATTGTTAAACCCAGAACTTCAGATGAGACAGCAGATAGAAAGTAAAGCTAGCAGGGGACAAACGAAATGCAACCAGGAAATACATTCCCATAGTGACCGTATCTACTAAAAAAGAACTTCTGGGACTTTCAGAATGAGTCTGATAATTAAAAGAAGACAATACAGAAGGAGAAGGTAAGTACCTTGACAACAGAAACTCTGTTTGTTTTAAGCCAGTACTTGGAAAATTAGAAAGATAAATGTTTAGACTGCAGGGTAAAAATAAAATATAAGTCTAAATTTAAATATCACATTTTCAAACTTTTAGCATTTTAATATGCTAGCTTGCTTACTTTTGTCTGTTCCGAGCTCATATATGGCTCTCCCCAGTCACTAACAAAAGCTGTGGTAAAACAGATTCTCAACAGAGAATATACCAGTATAAGTTTGCTCTAACCTGCTAAGTCGCTCTAAGCAACATTATGGGCTATTGCAATTAAACTGGTACCATGTATTAAAATTCAGAATAGTCACAGTTAAGATTAAATTTAAATGAACCCGAAATATTTTAAGCTATGGAAATGCACAACAATAGCATACAAACAGTCTTTAGCTGTCCTTGTTATTATATCAAAGGGCTGGAGGACAAGAAATAAGTGTTATGAAGATCTGTTAAATCACTTTGTAAATCACTTTTATAGTGTCTCTTTTTTTTTAAAGTGATGTTCAAAAATAATAATAATAAAATTCCCTATCTATTCATACCAAGTCTGAAGAACATTTGACCTCTTTGATCCAGTCTGACAAAGACTTCTTCTAATTTTAACCTTTTTTCCAACATTGCAGTTACTCATTCCAATATTAGGAAAGATCTAAGGCCATGTAACATCAGATTTTGATTATAACTTTCCTGCATAGGGGTTCTTTTTGCTGCTGCAATGGGATACTAATCCAGCATAAAGTGAATAACAGAAATAACAATTGCTCTTGCTAGTATATGTTTTCTTTTATAAACCTAGATTGGAAAATCTAAACCAAACCGACTTTATTTCATCTAGCTTTCCTCTGGTCAGTAGCTTTTTTTTTTCCCCCCCTCCCAAGATATTTTTACCATTACCAATGCCAGAAAAAGGATCAGTTTAATTCCGAATTCATGTACTTTCGGACAAAGGTTTTTGCAAAGCAACTGATGACAACTCAGCAAATATGCTTGGCAAACCCAAGCCACTGTTCGGCTTCAGTGTGAAACTTGGCCTGAGCTTACGTTCAGATCCAAATCTGAAAGCCGTTACTAACTTCTTTTCTGTCTGCAGAGTGAAAACAAATTATGACCACAAGCAAACAACAACAACAACAAAGCCCTCAGAATGCTGTTTACGTGCTGGAAAAAAACCACATACCTAACACAGCTTGCTTCCCAGACTCTTTCGCTTTTTCTTTGCTGCGAGGCCGCAAATGGCACTTTGCATCTTTAATTTTAAAACGAGCTTTCTGCTTGATTGGAGGGGCTAATGAATCTGTTGATGTCAAGTAAAAAGTTATCATTTGTAATGCAGTTTGACACTTATTTTTAAAAACAAACTCAGAGGTCTTCTTGCAACATGCAAAAGGGACGGTCCAAGAGGTGCCCACCTTGTACAAAAGGATCCATTTCCATAAGTTTATTTTCCCCACAAGCACTTATACTTGAGCCCATAAGGATCAATGAATTTGCTAGTACACTGCACATACTCTTCCCCTCCAACAGGCCTGCACAACTTTGTGGAATTTGGTTGAAATTGCCTTATTATGAACAAGGTTAATTGCTATGACTTTTTCTGACTTGCCATCCGTGACTTCCCGTGCTACTTGGCCATGGTTCTGCTCTTCTAAACGCAAACCCGGAATAAGATTAATTTGGAGGAGTTGTGCTGTTGGCAACTGAAAACTATCCAAGAGAACTGTCTTTATGGCTACGTAGTCTATGCTAGCTAATAGTCTATGGCTTGCAAGCTTTATTCTTCATCTTTAAATCCCACACAGTTATGTCTTATGACTTTAAAGGCTATTATACAGCGATGCACTGCTTTAAAAACAAAGCGGCTGGCTGACTTCTTTCTCGCAAAGATGGTGGAAAAGGCCGGACCCAGCCTATCTCCTTGTGGCTGCCGTGGGCTGCATGCAGAGCCGCAGCAGGTGGCAGGCGCTCGCAGGAGCCCTGCACTGCAGGTCCCTTGGCCAGCGAGGGCTAAGCCCAGCCCAGCCTCCAGAGGTAACCTGCCCCGTGCTGCAAGCAGCCAGCTCTGCAGCCACTTAGCTCACTTCACAGCATCGTACCTCCCAATCCTTTCCAAATATGTAAGGAATATGTGGTTAGAGAATTGGCAAATTCAGGGACCGGATCCATTCCAGAAAGAGGAGGACTGCAAGCACTTAAAGTCGCCTGATGCTTCCCACCGCTGGAAGCAGTTTCAGCTGCTTCTCATTTCGCCAGACTTTGACCATTTGAGCTGAACTTTTTAATGTTGGGTATCGGCTTTAAGACAAATTTTGAAATGTCTCTGCAAAAATAATCCAGCCGCCTCTGAGAACAAGATGAATGAAACACAATATGCGCTCATAAAAGTCTCATAACCTTTTTACCAAGAGTCCCCAGAGCCTCCGTGCTGCTAAGTAAGGACTTTCCAGGTGAGGGCTGGGCCCCACCGTGGCCTTTGCCATCGTGTTAGTGACGGGCCTGCCTGGCTCGCTTCCAAGCCTGTCAAAAACCGCCGTTTTGATATGCTCAGTATCGCCTTGCTGGACTAGGGAAAGTAAATTATTCTAAATGCCTCTCCTTACTGACTACACCTCAGAGCGCCACTGCGCCTGTATTTGACCTACCGACACAGGCGCCGCAGGGCAGGGCAACGAAGCACGCTCCAGCCCAAGCGGAGAGGCTGCGGAAACGAGAGTCCCGAAGCACTGGCAACTTTAAACCCGGCCCCGCGTAACTTTTGAGTGCTCTGTCTTGCAACCAACCCCCAGGCAGGTCGGGGGACCTTGCCCGCGGCGCGGGCGCGCAGCCGAGCACCTACCTGCGCAGCTGGGAAGCGTGGCGTTGCGCTTTGGCGGAGCTTTGCCCTGGGGGCCGGGGACGCCGCAGCTCAGCGTGTAGCTGTTCTCCGAATCTGAGCGAGGCAGGAGGCAGAGTCAGCGCGGGCAGCCAGAACCGCGCAAAACAGCTCGCCACCCCCAGCGCGAACGCGCAGCGCGCCAACGCGCTCAGTGGTACTAACGAGCCCGAGCGCTCAGCTTGCATTTTGAGTGGCTGAAATAGCTTGCTAAAGGCTACTGCTTCACAGCGCTGGCTACAAATTCAATGTTTCTTCCGGCATTGAGATTTTACATGTTATAAACAACCCGGCTTGGGGCTAGCTATAAATAAAACAATTCCATGGTGACAGGTGGAAAATATTTTACCGTGTTGGTCCACGACACAGTCCTTGGGCTTGGATAATCTCTGTAATTTACAAAAATAGGCTCTGTTCTTCAGTAATAGTTTTTAGTTTCAGACTCTTAACAGACTTCATTGGCGGAAACAAAAATAACATTCTTAGGAGCGTAGCAGGGTTTATGTACAACACAGATAAAACTGTGCATTGGTGCATAAAAATTAGACGAATGCATGGCTCTAGTAATCTCTGCTAAACTGAAAATAAAGTGCGAATAGCTCTACAGCATATAACGCCAGGACTAACATGAAAAGCAGCGAGAGCCCAGCGTAAAAAAAGTCCTATGTCAGAACAACATATATGCAAAACTCATAGCAACTCTTTCCACCTGCCCTGCAAAACTGAGCAGATGAAAATAACTTGTAGCAAACGATACAGAAAAGGGGGAGGAAGAAAATGAGATGCCTGTTCCTGCATATAACCAAGACTCAGCTGAACTGTTACTGGCAAAATCTATTAGAACCTAGTAAATGAAGCAACAAATACTGAGAAAGAGTTTTTCCATACAGTCTGCTGACTCAGATTTAGTTGCATCTATTTTGTATGGGACAGCAAGACAGGTTTAAAGTTGTTGCTGGGTCACCCATTGCTCCACGGGGTCCCTGCCTGAGCTGACAGCAGTGTTATACTCTTGTAGCGCTGCAGCTCGATCATTCGCTGCGACCGCCGCAACATTAAACTGCCCAGCGTGACCGATCCCTGCCTCACACCGTGCTCCCCAGGCTGGGCTCCTCACATGGGAACCCTCCACTTTGGGGCTCGCCTCTGCTCCATCACACAATTACAAGGTATTTCAGGACATGAGGCAGAGTCCACTGTTTTAACCAGAAACCTGGATGGGCACGGAGGGCTCTGTTCATATTGAAAAGTATGATACTAAAAGTTAGCAGGAATTCACCAAAATCAACTGTTCAGTTTTGACACTTTTATTAAGATAGCAAGTTAATGTTCATTTTTCTCTTTTGCACCATTCTGGTTAAGATAGTTGTGTCTCATAGATTTTTGTTAGAATGTCTTGATTACTTTTTCAAATGTCATCTCAAATGAAATGACTAAGGGCCAAACCTCTAGCTGACAGTTCACTCTTGCACTTATTGTTGTGCAGGTTTGGCCCAGACACTAACTTATAATATTTGTTTGTCCATTTATAATTGCCCATAACAAAAAAGGAATATAAGAATCATGACTACATTAGCAGAGAAAAATCATCAAGTCACATTCTGTATCTAGACTTAGGAGCACAAATACTATTTTGTACCAACCTGGAACAAAAAGAGTATTGGATGGGCAGGACAGGAAGCAGCTTTCTATGCCTCCTGTCTTACTACACACTAGCTGAGCCTTTGCAGCTGGTTTGCCATTTGGGAGACATTTCACCATCTCTGAGGAGAGGAAAAGAAAAGAAAAGAAAAAAAAGAGAAAAATCAAACACTGCCCACGCAGAACCTGGAGCACCCACTTGCTTAAAATGGTGAAGAAAGGTAGAAGGGACAATGAAGCAAAATCGCAGGCCCAGGAATTTCTGAAATAAGCAAGTAATAGGGAGAGAATATCTGGATTTTGAGCTCGGACTTGGAATTTAAACTCCTTCACATTTTCTAGGCCCAAAACCTGGATCAGAGTCCTTTCTTCTCATCCTCCCCTTTGGGACTATTCAAGTCTAGATCTGCATTTTGAAATGCAGGTGTATCTCTAAGTACGAGCACAATTCAGCACACACAACCTGATCGCAGAAGCAACAGCTGCGACTAGTGACATGAGACGTCCCCCCTCCTTTTTTGGTGGCACGGCTGTCTGGTTTGACGGGTCGTTCTACAACAACACGCACAGGAGTCACCCTCACAAAGATCCCTTAATTTCAATGGCTGTTAAAACAGTGTTTTTGTCTTCTCATTCCAACTCCCAGCAACTTTTAAATCTCTGCTCCATGCTCAAGCTCCCGATCTTTGAGTAGGAAGCCTCCCAGGCAGGTAGGCAGAGGGTGGGAGGGCACAC